TTGCGCTTACGTCAGTCTTTGGAGAACATCCCATCTGTGTCTTATTTCGTCCTTTGGGAAACTGACACTCCGGGCCCCAAACCTGTGGTTCTTGTGGTAGATGAAACCACTTAAAAAATTAGCATGGGTTCTGTAGGAATGAGTGTTTTGATAACAATGCTGGCTTAGTAGGAGCCATAGTGGGCTAGTCAAAAGCAACGCTCCCAAACTAAGTTTAGATATATTCAAAAACCTTTGTGGAAACTCAGAAGAGGGAATTTCAACAAGCGTTCCTTGTTCTTTTTCACCAGGCAACCTCATACAGGAGGAAACACACATTACAGAATTAATGAACTCAAAGCATTGGAAGAGGCCATAAAGGCCATCTAGTCCAAACTCCAGGCCATGAGTTCTCCACAGAGCTTGGAAGACTGCTTTCTGAAAGCAATTTCTTCCATGGAAAGCTGAGCTGGTCCTCGGTCTGGGGGGTTGTGGGCACGAACTCTAAGATCTTCCGTCACAAGCATGGCTGGTGGGGACGAGAGAGAGGGCCTTCTTGGTAGAATCATAGAATCAAAGAGTTGGAAGAGACCTCATGGGCCATCATCCAGTCCAACCCCATTCTGCCAAGAAGCAGGAATATTGCATTCAAATCACCCCTGACAGATGGCCATCCAGCCTCTGTTTAAAAGCTTCCAAAGAAGGAGCCTCCACCACACTCCGGGGCAGAGAGTTCCACTGCTGAACGGCTCTCACAGTCAGGAAGTTCTTCCTCATGTTCAGATGGAATCTCCTCTCTTGTAGTTTGAAGCCATTGTTCCATTGCGTCCTAGTCTCCAAGGAAGCAAAAAACAAGCTTGCTCCCTCCTCCTCCCTGTGGCTTCCTCTCACATATTTATACATGGCTATCATATCTCCTCTCAGCCTTCTCTTCTTCAGGCTAAACATGCCCAGCTCCTTAAGCTGCTCCTCATAGGGCTTGTTCTCCAGACCCTTGATCATTTTAGTCGCCCTCCTCTGGACACATTCCAGCTTGTCAATATCTCTCTTGAATTGTGGTGCCCAGAATTGGACACAATATTCCAGGTGTGGTCTAACCAAAGTGGAATAAAGAGGGTAGCATTACTTCCCTAGATCTAGACACTATGCTCCTCTTGATGCAGGCCAAAATCCCATTGGCTTTTTTTGCGCCACATCACATTGTTGGCTCATGTTTAACTTGTTGTCCACGAGGACTCCAAGATCTTTTTCACACGTACTGCTCTCGAGCCAGGCATTGCCCCCCATTCTGTATCTTTGCATTTTATTTTTCCTGCCAAAGTGGAGTATCTTGCATTTGTCCCTGTTGAACTTCATTTTGTTAGTTTTGGCCCATCTCTCTAATCTGTCAAGATCGTTTTGAATCCTGCTCCTGTCCTCTGGAGTATTGGCTATCCCTCCCATTTGGTGTCATCTGCAAACTTGATGATCATGCCTTCTAGCCCTTCATCTAAGTCATTAATAAAGATGTTGAACAGGACCGGGCCCAGGACGGAACCCTGCGGATGGCACTCCACTCGTCACTTCTTTCCAAGATGAAGAGGAAGCCTTGGTGAGAATCACCCTCTGGGTTCGTCCACTTAACCAATTCCAGATCCACCTCACCGTAGTTTTGCCTAGCCCACATTGGACTAGTTTCCTTGCCAGAAGGTCATGGGGGACCTTGTCAAAGAAGGCCTTCCTGAAATCCAGGTACGCCACATCCACGGCATTCCCCGCATCTACCCAGCTTGTAGCTCTATCGAAAAAAGAGATCAGTATTACATTATAAGTAGCCATAGGGGATACCACGAAGGTTATGTTGCCTTCCCAGCTCCCCACTTTGCATCTCACCTCCCCCACTTCGAATCGCGCTGGGGCTCCGGCTGCTACTGAGCCATCCAGCTGCGAAAATGCTATGGGATTTTGCAAAGGGGTTTTCTTACAGTTCAGTTCGTCTGCTAATTCTGGGGTCATAATGTTTCTGGAGCAGCCGCAATCCATGAGGGCTTTGCAGCTGGCCCATTTCCCCTCCCCTTCTAGCCTGATTGGGAACACCAGCATTCCTGGGTTGTGACTCACCAGATCTCCCACTGGGGCCCTACTAGGGGGGCTCTCTTCTGCTCTCTTCCCCGCGGCCGGTTTGAATTTTTGGAAATGGGGATCTCCCCCTCTCCTTTGTCGACATCCGGCCGCCCGATGGCCAAGGCGACCGCATACAAAACAGCCGCCCCTCTGCTCCTTGGGTCCTCCGGTGGGGCCCTTCCCGATCGTGCCTCTCTCCGTCCTCCGACTCTCCTCCTTTGCTCTCGTCTGCTGCGGCGCCGCTCCTTGATGTCTCTTGATCTGGGCCAACGTGGTTTCGATGCGGCCAGCCAGCTCGATCCATCCGCCTATCTCCTCCGGATCGTCGCGATGAAGTGCCCAGGTCAGGATTTCCTTCCGCAGGCCCTCTTTGAATATCTGGACCTTAGCGGTGTTGGACCATTCCGGCACTTTTTCGGCCCTCAACCGGAACTCCTCTACATATTCGCACACTGAGCGATGGCCCTGTGTTATCGTTTGCAGCCTTTCCCTCGCCCGGACCCTCTCGAGCGGATCCCTGAAGCGCGCCTCCATCGCAGCCAGGAATCGCCTCGTAGAACCCAAACATGGGTCATGCCTGGCGTGGAGCTGGACATACCATTCTGCCGCTCCTCCTCTCAGCGCCGCACCCACCGCCCGCACTCGGCTTGCTTCCGATCCGAAGGTAAGGGCGTTATCCTCCAGATACCCTCTCACCATGGTCAGGAAGTATGCGAGGCTCCCGGCTTCTCCTCCGAATTCAATCCTCAGCTCCTCCCTCCTGGGTTGGTAAGTAAGGGGTTGCCTCTCCCGGCTCTCCGCTCGGGGTGGCCCTCCTGGGAGCTCGTGCCGCTCCGGTGGCAATTCACGTCGCCCTGTGCCACGCCCGGCCCCTGCCGGGGGCACCAGGGATGTCTGCTGGGACGCCGCCGCCAGTCCCCGTGGTTGCTCTTCCTCCTCATCACTCTCCGCCACGGCTCTCCAATTCGCCTGCGTTTTAGATCGTGCCCCGGGTTCCCGGTCACTCCTCTCCCCCGCGCTCCACATCGAGTCTCCTCGGGGTGGTGGCTCCTCTAACAACGGGGCCAATCTCTCCATCACCCTCGACATCATCGCGAGGGTGGTTTCCATGGAAGCCAGTTTCTCCTCCAGATAGTCCAATCTCTGCGGGGAGGGAAAGTCTGGCCCACTGCTTTCTCGCGCTGCCGCCGCTGCCCCCTTCACTCGTCTCTGGGTGACTCCGTTGGGCTGGGCATATGCAGTCGATGAAGCCAATGCATTCACTCTCTCCAGCTCTTCTTCCGCATTCTCGAAAGGGGAGTCTGGTTCTCTCCCTCCCGTTGGATTTTCTGTTAGGTCCTCCTCTCCCTGCATGGGGGTGCCTCACCACAGCCGTGGGATGGCACTGAGCAATCCTGGCTTAATGTAAGCTCCCAGCAGCCGCCCCAAGAATGACACAGAATGCCGATCCGTTATATTGTATGTATATATATCTTGTAAGCTGCTCTGAGTCCCCTTCAGGGTGAGAAGGGTGGCATATAAATATCATAAATATCATAAATAAATAAATAAATAAATTTATTAACTGCATTTCTGTAAGCTCCCAGCAGTCGCCCCAAGAATGACACAGGATGCCGATCCGTAATCAATCAGGAAACTTTTACTACTGGATATGCATACACAACGAAAGCCAGGATTGGCACACAGTCTCAAGTTAACCCTTATATACCCTCCCCCGTATTCGAATCCCCTTTTCCCGCCGACCGTAGTTCCCGCTCAATGTTCCCCGCCAACCACCAACTGCTCCTCCCAAGGCCACCAGCTGCATACTCTTATCGGCTCTCCATGTCAGGATTCTGGTTTTTTGCGCCAATGTCCAAGGCCAGGAAACCGAGCCCTGACACATTTCTATACCGCTTTTCTCACCCCTGGGAGGACTCAAAGTGGTTTACAACATAATAAAAGGCAAATTCAGTGCTTCACACATATACAAAAATATCACGTATCCAAATCAATAACATATAACTGTAGAAAATAACAATTAAAATTATAAAAACATCAAGCATAGACATAAGTGTGAACCATATTATTGCTGCAATTAAGAGAGAAGATGTATAATCCAAAAAGGTTTAACAATGGGTGATAATCCAACAGAAATCCAAATATCTCATGCAGACCGAAAAGTAACACAGTCCAGGAACAGCCAAAAATCACAAGAAAAGCTTACAGTAAGTCCACAAGCAAAAAATACACTTAGTAAAACTTGAACAGAAATACAAAAAACAAGAACATTAGAAATTTCCAGAATACTTGAATCCAAAACCAAGACTTTACTTGAAACAAAAACCAGAGATTGTTGAAGGCTTTCATGGCCGGAATCACTCACAACTCACAACAACCCAAGAGCTGGAAAACTCAGGCCTAGCTTCTCATTTGAACACTACATTGCCTGAACAAACCCATAAGTAAACAACTTGCTATTTAATAGATACCCATTAAAGCATTCCATTTCCATTCCATATTCCATATTAAGCATTCCATATTGTGATATGCTAATATAATAAATTGTATGTATATCTATATATATATATCTTGTGAGTCCCCTTTGGGGTGAGAAGGGTGGCATGTTAATGTTATAAATAAAAAAATAATATATATGGAAAAAATAATATATATGGAAACAACTACCCCAAAAGTCTTATCAGTTTCTTGGATGAACTGGAAAATGACAGACTAACCAAAAAAGGCGTAGGACTCTCTAGATACCAAAGAAGAGCAATATATGCACAGTGCCACAGTGTGCTTAAGAATGGTGACATGGAACACATTTTGTGTTTCTAGCACATATATACACACGTGCACTACTGTTATAATGGCCATTCTGCTATTCAATCAGCACATAATGTGGCAAATGTGGCAGAAGGAGAAGCCATCTTTACCTTTCAATCATGTACTCCAGGTTGGTCAACTTGGCCTCCCCAGGCAAAACGATCACCACAGCGTAGGAGCTAACAGTGCGATGGATGAAGCCGCACAGGTGGAGGAACCTCAAAGCATCGCTCACCTGGAGCAGGATGTGGACTATAGTCTCCATGTGTATGATTGGGAATTCGGAGCGCTGCAAAGCAAACGGAGGAGGGGTAGAGTGGGGTGAGCGGAAAAAGATCACTGATCCCTAATATGAACATTTATTTATTTATTTATTTCATCTACTTATACCCCGCCCTTCTCACCCCGGGGGGGACTCAGGGCAGCTTACAGAGGAGGCACAATTAGATGCCCAAATCACACAACAAACAATACAAAATATAACAATTCAACAATTAAAATGAAACATCAATACCTATTAAAATCATAAAACTATCTCATGTCAGAGTCCATATATCAGAGTCCATATATCCATTCCATTCCATTGTCCTTGTCTATCGATAGGTCCTTTAGTCAGTTGTCAGCATGGCCAAAAGCTTGGTCCCACATCCAGGTCTTTAGTTTTTTCCTAAACGCTAGAAGGGAAGTCGTCAATCTGATCTCCCTGGGGAGTGAGTTCCACAGGTGGGGGGCCACCACTGAGAAGGTCCTGCTCCTCGTCCCCGCCAGTCTCACTTGAGCCATTGGCGGGGTCGAGAGCAGGGCCTCCCCAGAAGATCTTAAACTTCGAGGTGGGATGTAGAGGGAGATCCGTTCGGACAGATCTCCCTCATGAATTGTTCCCCAACATGCCAGAGGCAAAGACCTTTCCATTAGGAATTGCTAAGCTTTGTCTACTAGGGGAAGATAGAAAGTGATCATCCATGCTTCCCTACACCACTTAAAGCGAATCTCTGAAACATACATTGGAAGGCTATCCAAAGAAGGGTGGTGAGAAGGAAGTCATAGGAAGGAACCCGAAGGGACTCAAATGCAGATCTCTCATCAGGATAGTAGGTGTTTTAGGCCAAAATATGTATTTATTTATCATACTTTTATACCGCCTCTCTCAGCCCGAAGGCGACTCGAGGTAGTAATCAATGTCACCAACACATAAAATATAATTAAAAACATTAGCATATAATATAGACCATATAAAGCCAGTAAAAGCAATAAAAACCATAAAACGTAAGTCCTCAGCGTCTCATTACTAAAATCATTTTTCCCATCGCATCGTCCAATCGTTCTGTAAATCTAAATTAATCTGTTACACTGCATTTGCAAATGCTTGCTCAAACAGCCAGGGTTTAACTCCTTTTGGAAATGTTAGGAGGGAGGGTGCCAATCTGATATCTCTAGGGAGGGCGTTCCATAGCCGAGGGGCCACCGCTGAAAAGGCCCTGTCTCTCGTTCCCGCCAATCACATCTGCGAAGGAGGCGGGACCGAGAGCAGGGCCTCTCCAAACGATCTTAAGCTCCTAGCTGGTTCATAAGGAGAGATACGTTCGGACAGGTAAGTTGGGCCGGAACCGTTTAGGAGAACAGCACAATACAGGAACCCATGACCTCTATATCACTCATGAGATGGAAGGGAAGCAAGATGGTGGCAACAAAGTGGAACAGAAGAAGAGCCAAACTATGGAAAAGTCTGCTCCAAAGAAAGATGAGGAGACTGCACCATACTGTCTACAAGCACATAATCTACCTCAGGATACCCTTTATATGTCACATCTTTTGGAGGAGACATAGCTCTGAGCACCTCAGAAGAAATATTGAAATACGTATTAAGGTGATACATATATGAACGACTGGGAAGAAACAAAATGCTTGCTTTACCCTCTCATGTAGGATGCTATAGAGCGAGCCAAAGTTAACCCTCTCAAACACTAATCGGGTTTTCTCCAAGTCACTGGATAAACAGACAGCCATCAGCTGCAGCAGATGAGGGTGGCGTAGTTTGCTGTAAAGGAAATAAAAGCTCATCAACAGGGCAAGAATTGAGTTATGAAATGAACATCTGACCACAAAAAAACCTATAAAAAGCTTACTATTTATTTATTTATTTATTATTCAAACGTATATGCCGCCACCCGCCTCATAGGAAACCTGCTACAAAACAGGATCTTTTTTGTTGAGTTCCAGGGCCAGAGAAGCAGATGGCGGAAACAGAAGAATGGCCTGCCTCAGAGGAGCGTGCTTGCTCTATCCCTGTTCAACATTTACACAAATGACCAGCCACTGCCAGAAGGGACAGAGAGTTGTATCTATGCTGATGATCTTGCCATCACCACCCAAGCAGGGAGCTTTGAGATGGTTGAACAGAAGCTCTCCAAAGCTCTAGGTGCTCTTACTGCCTATTACAGGGAAAACAAGCTGATCCCTAATCCATCTAAAACAGTAACATGTGCTTTTCATCTTAAGAACAGACAAGCATCCCAAACTCTGAGGATTACCTGGGAAGGAATCCCACTGGAGCATTGCAGCACACCCAAATACCTGGGAGTCACTCTGGACCGTGCTCTGACCTACAAGAAGCACTGCCTGAACATCAAGCAAAAAGTGGGCACTAGAAACAACATCATACGAAAGCTGACTGGCACAACCTGGGGATCACAACCAGACACAGTGAAGACATCTGCCCTTACGCTTTGCTACTCTGCTGCTGAGTATGCATGCCCAGTGTGGAACGCATCTCACCACGATGAAACAGTGGATGTGGCTCTTAATGAGACATGCCACATTATCACGGGGTGTCTGCACCCTACACCACTGGAGAAACTACACTGCTTAGCCGGTATTGCACCACCTGACATCCGCCGGCAAGGAGCAGCCAATAGTGAAAGGACCAAGGTAGTGACATCTCCAGTTCATCCCCTGTTTGGGTATCAGCCAGCACGTCAACGACTTAAATCAAGAAATAGTTTTCTAAGATCTACAGAGGCACTAGCTGGAACACCCCAGCAAGCAAGAGTCCAAAAGTGGGAGGCTCAAACCCAGAACCTCAATCAATGGCTGATACCAAATTAGAGACTCCCTCCTGGGCACACAGAGGACTGGGCGATTTGGAAGGCACTGAACAGACTGCGCTCTGGCACCACGAGATGCAGAGACAATCTTAAGAAATGGGGCTACAAAGTGGAATCCACGACATGCGAGTGGGGAAATAACAATTAAGAAATAAAAATTAAGAGCAAACTACAGACCACCTGCTGCAATGCAACCTGAGCCCTGCCACATGCATAATGGAGGACCTTCCCATACTAACACCAGCGGCACTCCAAGTGGCCAGCTACTGGTCAAAGGACATTTAATCCACTACCAAGCTTGCAAACTTTGTGTTTTGTTTGTTTGTTTGTTTAAAAATGCAATACAACTGTTTGGTTTGCTCCTGACGCGATAAATAAATATGTCTCCTCTCAGCCTTCTCTTCTTCAGGCTAAAGTTTTTTAAGCCGCTCCTCATAGGGCTTGTTCTTCAGACCCTTGATCATTTAAGTCACACTCCTCTGGACACATTCCAGCTTGTCAACATCTCCCTTCAATTGTGGTGCCCTTCAATTGTGGTTCCTACACAGCAAATCATAAAAGCACTATACTAGTGCTCTAATCTTTCTACACTGACTGGCAGTCTACTTCTAGACCCAGGTAAAGGCACTGGTGACTTACCTTTATTACTGTAAAATATAATCCATTTTACTGTAAAATATAATCTATTTTACTGTAAAATATAATCCATTTTACTGCTCATGCTCCCTGAAGTAGTTCTAATCCCCTCTCGGCCATGAAAATCCACTCTGTGAACCTGGGCAAGTCACACCTTCTCAGCCCCCAAAAATCCCATGATAGGGTTGCCATAAGGCACAAACTTGAAGGCACACAACCCGCTCCACCCACTCAAGAGGCAACCCCGCTAGAGAGATACTCATACCTATTGTACTCCTGTTCTGCAAGGAGGAGGTCAAAGAGGCACAGTTTGCTGCAATGCGGGTGGGGCTTCATATTGAGCTCCTTCACTGTGACTTGGCTCCCGCGCCACATCAAGCTGCAAGATGGAAAGAGTTAAATCATAGAATCCTAGAGTTGGAAAAGACCTTGTCGGCAATCCAGCCAAACCCCAATCTGCCAAGGAGCAGGGAAATCATATTCAAAGCACCCCCGACAGATGCCCATCCAGCCTGTTTCAAAGCCTCCAAAGAAGGAGCCTCCACCACACTCCGAGGCAAAGAGTTCCACTGCTGAACAGCTCTCACAGTCAGGAAGTTCTTCCTCATGTTCAGGAGGAATCTCCTTTCTTTCCTGTAGTTTGAAGTCATTGTTCCACGTTCTAGTCTCCAGGGAAGCAGAAAACAAGTTTGCTCCCTCCTCCCTATGACTTCCTCTCACATATTTGGCTATCATGTCTCCTCTCAGCCTTCTCTTATTCAGGCTAAACATGCCCAGCTCTTTAAGCCACTCCTCATAGGGCTTGTTCTCCAGACCCTTGAGCATTTTAGTCACCCTCTTTATTTACCATATTTTTACCCTGCTCTTTTCAACGCCGAAGGGGACTCAAGGCAGCTTTAAGAAACATAATGAAATATTGAAAGCCTAAGCCACCACTTGCAGGATCTCACCTGGTCATTGTCATGTATGGCCCAGCAGGAAAGGAGAAAGTTGGTTCATCATCAGCCTGAGATATTTCCGTATCTGCAATGATCGGGAACGAAGCTAGGCAGCCCAGCTTGCCACCGGTGAGATAAAACTAACAAGAGACAAAGAAATCAATATAATAATTCTACTTTTCATGGTCAAAGTCAAAGAAATAACAATTAAGAGGAAACACCACAGGAACACTTTTGTGGGTTCCTGCCCATCTCTCTTACATTCTGCCCTCAAGGGGAATCGCTGCCAGAAAATGATGTCACTACAATTCTTAAGGTCATGACAATTCACCCCAGATATACCCTGAGCTTGAACGATGGCCTTCCACATACTGGCTGTAACTTATCAGTTGCCATCTCCCACTCTATAAATGTACATTAAGTCCAGGCATTTCCCCAGGTCATTTCCATACACATGAGGCAGCCCCAATTCATTTTCTCTGCCTCTTTTGCTCCAAATAAACTATCATTGGGTCCCTCCATCTTACCTTCCCATAGCCAAAACTGTAAAGGTTTGGGGGAGGGCTGTTTCCACGTTTCAGGAACCTTCCCAGTGGGCTGTCGCTTGTTCTAAGTAAGGTAACGGGGGACAAAACAAAGGGTCTCATCTTACTCAACTGATATGTACAAGTAAAGTACAGGGCTTTCTAGCCACATGCCTCTATTTATATGAATAAAAATGTAATGTTCATTTGTGGAATTAACATAATTAAAAAACCACTGGATGAATTGATACCAAACGAGTGACCATCACTCACAAAAACACTGAAAAGCACAGCAGAAGAGACTTAAAAAGCTAAAAAATAAAAAATACACTACAACGCATGCACAAAACCACATAAATATACGAAAACACACATATACACAAATACGAGGGGTATTTTTTAAGTAAGGTCCGTTTTGTTGTAGGCACTAGTAGTTTGCATGCATACCGCAACGGGTTCGTGCGTCGTGTACCGGCATGCCTTGGAAACAACTGTGCTCAGTTTCCGCTCTGTAGCTAACCTGTACAGTTCTGTTCTGTGCTTTAAAAATGTTTAAGACTATCAACTCACCCTCCGCATGTGAGGTTCGCTCAGTGATACGGTTTTTGTCAGCAAGGAACCTGCCTGCTGCAGAAATTCATCGACAGATTTGTGAAGTATATGGTGATACTGTTATGAGTGAAAGCAAAGTGCATATGTGGGTACAACAATTCAAAGATGGCCGTGACAATGTCCATGATGAGGACTGCTCTGGTCACCCTTCTTTGATTACAGACGATTTGGTGGCTTCAGTTGAAGCGAGGATTTATGAAGAGGGTATTTTTATATTGGTTCAGAGGTATGATAAGTGTTTGAACAAACTTGGCAACTATGTCGAAAAATAGAGTGAAGTATGTACTTTCTGAAAATAAATTTACTTTTTTGAAATAAACTTTCGTTGTGTACTTATGTTCCAACGGACCTTACTTAAAAAATACCCCTCGTATATACGCACACATATACACAAATATACACACACAACACAAAATACACAGACTGGACCACAGCAATGCGTGGCAGGGGACAGTTAGCCTATATAAATAAAAATGTAATGTTCATTTGTGGGATTAACAGAATTAAAAAACCACTGGACGAATTGACACCAAATTTGGACACAAGACACCTATCAGGCCAATGAGTGACCGTCACTAATAAAAACACTGAAAAGCACAGCAGAAGAGACTTAAAAAGCCAAACAAGCAAAAAGATGCTACAGCGCATGCACAAAAACGACTCCCTCGGCAAACAAAACACACGATAGCATATCCACACTCTCTTCCGGACTACAGCTCCCAGCATCCCCTAGACCAGGCCCTTTAGGAGAGGAGGGGGATCCAAATGCACTGCTTCCAAGCTGCAAGCTTTCTTCTCCTTGAATTTCTTTGAGAGCATAGCAATCCCAGCATATTTCCAATTTCCTATTCCTGGACTGCAACTCCCACCAATCCTCCAGATAGATTAGATAGAGATAGATAGGTAGGTAGGTAGATAGATCAATCAGGAGGACTGCTGGGAGTTGCAGTCCAAGAATAGGTAGAGAAGGGAAAAAAGAGGAGAAAGTGGAAGGGAAAGAAAAGGGGGGAAGGAAGGGAAGAGAAAGAGAAGGAAAGAAGGGGAGAATGAGAGAAAAAAAGGGAGGGAAGGAAGGAGGGAGAGAAGGAAGGTGAGAAAGAAAGAAGAGAAAGTAAGAAGAGAAAAAGGAGGGAAGGTTGGCCACAGCAACGCATGGCAGGTTAAAAAACAAAGCTTATCTTGTCAAAACTGTGCATTCATTCTCCATTAACCCACTTACCCCTGTGTGATGCTCCCAAACTTGGAGAGGGCAAAAACTAAGCCTTTAGGAGAGTCCACTTTCCTGAGCAGCTCAAAGGAGTTACTCTGGAGGGCAGCCTGCATGTGTGCCCGACAGCGCTGAATGAACTCTAGCATCTGAAAAAGAAGAGACAGGACTAGCTAGAGCGTCATCGGGAAACTCAAGCATTAGGGTGCACTTTTCAGCAATAGGCACTGGGCACACACCTGAGCACTAATATCCTTCCCGGCTGTCATGGCCCAGCTTTGGGGGTTCCTCCCATTCTTGTCGTGGACTCGCAGGTCTCCCCCTGCATCCAGCAATTTACTAAGAATTGACTGATCGCCTGAGAAGGCTGCAGCATGGACTGGAGTGCTCCCATCGTAGCAACGGCTGAAAAAAATAAAAGGACACAAGAGGAAAAATGCACAATTTTTGCAGTAGTGCATTAACCCAGTGGTGCCATTCCACTAACTAATTCAGACACAATCATAGACTTGGAAGAAACCACATGAGCCATATAGTCCAACCCCCTGATATGCAGGGAAAACACAATCAAAGCATCCCTGACAGGTGGCCATCCACCCTCTGTTTAAAAGCCTCCAAAGGAGGAGCTTCCAGCACACTCCAAGGCAGAGAACAGCTCTTCTTACAGTTAGGAAGTTCTTCCTAATGTTCCTAATGGTAAATTTTCGTCGGTTTTTTTTTTTTTAGTTTTGCTGTCCCGTTGGACGCCTTTTCCACTTTTATATATATAGATGGAATATACATTTTCATTGGTTCCCAAAGATAAATCATTTCATCGGTCTAAGCTAGCTATGCAGTTGTTCATTTGTTGTTTATGATGTTGATTGACATTATAGCACATGTGGGATGCTAGCAATGGCACAACTATGGCACAACTATGGTCCATTGTTCTCTGACCATGACTGTATCTTATCTGTTAGTCTGTTGCAAACATGGCTTCAGAGCAACTGGGAACCCATGGCCCCATTGAGTCCCAGTCTCCAGAGAGGAAGCCTGGTCCCTCTTCCTTGTGACAGCTTTTGAGATATTTAAACATGGCTCTCATGTCTCCTCTCAACTTTGTCTTCAGGCTAAAGACATACAAGGAGCATACCACCCCCCGTTGTGTCAGCTCCACTGGCTGCCAGTCCACTTCCGAGCACAATTCATTCAAAGTGCTGGTCTTGACCTATAAAGCCCTATACAATTCCGGCCCAGCTTACCTATCTGAACATATCTCCCTCTACGTCCTGCCTCGCAGTTTAAGATCATCCGGGGAGGCCCTCCTCTCAGTCCCGCCAGCCTCACAAGTGCACTTGGCGGGGACGAGGGACAGAGCCTTCTCGGTGGTGGCCCCAAACCGGTGGAACTCACTCCCCAACGAGATCAGGTCGGCGTCTTCCCTCCTTTTTTTCAGAAAGAAGGTTAAATCATGGTTCTGGGATCAGGCCTTTGGACAGCAAGCATGACAGCTTGCTGTCCAACTGCTGCTCTGGGCCGGAGTGAAGAAAGGGGGACCAGGGRATAGTTCCACCTTGTCTCCTGTGCTATTCTAATAATATGTTATAATATAATATATAATATATTGTATATACATATAATATTTATAATATTGTAATGTAATGCAATATAATACTASTAATAATAATAATATGATATTATAATTATATATTTATATTACATGTAATATTACTAATAATATTACAGTATAATTGATATAGTGCAGTATAGCAATATTTAAAACTGATATTGTACTATGTTAATAATATATTGTATGTATATATACCTTGTAAGCCGCTCTGAGTCCCCTTCGGAGTGAGAAAGGCGGCATATAAGGACCCTAAGATCTTCTGGGGAGGCCTTGCTCTCTATCCCGCCTGCTTCACAGGTGCGGCTGGCGGGGACGAGAGACAGGGCCTTTTCTGTGGTGGCCCCTCGGCTCTGGAACGCCCTTCCCATGGAGGTAAGATCAGCCTCCTCGCTGATGGTATTCCGAAGAAGACTAAAAACTTGGATGTTCAAGCAGGCGTTTGGCTAATTCGGTGCAATGAATGTGTTGATTACGGATTGGTAATATGGATGATGCAATTGGACCACGATTTTAGTTAGGAGATGTATTAGATTGTGATTTCGTGTAATATTGTGTATTATGTTTTTTATGGTTTTAATTGTATACTGTGCACTGTATATTTTGTTGTAAACCGCGTTGAGTCACCAATTAGTCTGAGAAACGGCGGTATACAAGGACAGTAAATAAACAAATAAATAAATAAATATAAATGTCGTAAATAAATAAAATAAATTCAATACAGAATAGGACTGGAATTGGCTAAATTGATTGATGACAATGTATTTGTTTATATTTGTTATATTGTTATATTTTGTATACTGTTATATTTGTTATATTGTTAGTTCTGACCTTTAAAATTCCATCGTACCTTAGGGACCACCTCTCCTTTTCCCATCATCGGAGGTCGCAACAACCAGCCCAACGTGACTTACTCTATATACCGGGTCCTAGAGAAGTGCACTTGGACAGTACCAGATGCGGGGCTTTTTCTGTTTTTGCCCCTGCCTTGTGGAATTCCTTGCCGCCCTACATGAGAGCCATGCGTGACTTGGGGCCTTTTACTCTAGCACTTAAGACCTGGCTTTTTACTAGAGCATTCGATCTCTATTAATTTTTAATTTCTGTATGTATGTATTTTATCTTTTACAATTTAGCTGTAAATCGCCTAGAGCATTAATAAGTAATTAAATATGATGATGATGATGATGATGATGATGATGATGATATTTGTATTATCTTATGGCATCGCATTGTTGCCGGTGTAATCTGCCCTGAGTTCCCCCTCGGAGGTTGAGAAGGGCGGGTTAGAAATGTGGGAAATAATTTTTTACCCAAATGTAATCACCAAAAGAGATTAAGATATTAAGCATACAGAGCTGTCATTTACTAAGAATTTTAAAGCAAATCAAACCGATAATAAGGTAACCACTGCCCAGACTTCTAATTAAAAATAATAATAATAAAAAAAAACCAAAGCACGCAATGGACACAGGAAGAGTTAAGAAGAAGCAAGACTAATACCCAGACACTAATTCTTAAAGTATGGAACTAGGCAAAAGCAAAGCATACATTTTAGTTTGCATCTTAAAATCACAGGATGGTGGGGGCAAAGGAAGAAGGAGATTTATGCCAGTTCCTGTCCCATTCAGTATATGATTTTATATGGCACCTCTCCCACCATTTCAGGATTAGATGGGAGCTTATACTAGTCTAGGCCAACGTTTGGAAACTGGTAGTTTCAAAAGTTGGGACTTCAGTTCTCATTAGTCTGGCTGTTTTGTTCTGCTAAATTGTGGGAAACACATATCTGTTTGCAACTAGGACAAAACAAACATATAGCTTTATACTTACTGATTTGGGTCTGAACCATAATCCAGAAGAATGTCAACAAGTTTTTCAAGACCAAGCAAGGAGGCTGTGAATAAAGGTGTCTGTCCCAACGAATTGACGGAATTGACAGAGATCCCTAACAAAAGGGAAAGAAAATACAGACCATTTTATTTGGATAGGACAGAACCGCTGTTTAGGGATGATGCTGTTTGCCGTTATTCGTGTGCTTTTAAGTTTATATTTCTGTGCAATTTTATCAGTTAGTTGCCACCAGTGCCATATTTTGGCAGAACAGGAAGACATAAACTGAACAAAGACATGTTAAAAAGTACTCTGGTTGAAAATTACATTGGTGAGGTATTATTGGTATTCATCCTTCAACTTGGCCCACTCTCTCTGTAGTTAACCAGAAGACTATGACAAATTGGCTTTAGCAGATGGTCAAAAGCCATTATATCTGTTTCTGGCTGTGTGTTTTTCAATTATTTCTGATTTGTGGTAGCCAACTACACTACGTAATGTGATTTTTGGCCTTGGGTTATCTATGTCATTTCCTAATTTGTTTTATCATAAAGACATGGGGAAAAATTATTAAATTTCAAAAACTTTGTTTTTGAGGGACATCCTGCTATAGCACATTGTGCTATAATTTTTCAATGAATGTCTGATACAGTCTCAACCAATTCAATACAGTTTGTGCCAGCAACAAAAACAAAGTTTGTGAATTGTCAAAGACTTTCATGGCAGGAATCACTGGGTTGTTGTTGGTTTTTCGGGCTGCATGGCCATGTTCTAGAAGCATTCTCTCCTGACCTTTCGCCTGCATCTGGGGCAAGCATCCTCAGAGGTTGTGAGGATTTTATTATTATTTTTGTTGTGTCAGGAGCGACTTGAGAAACTGCACGTGAGAGAATTGGCCGTCTGCAAGGACGTTGCCCAGAGGATGCCCAGATTTGATGTTTTATCATCCTTGTGGGAGGCTTCTCTCATGTCCCCATGAGGAGCTGGAGCTAAAAAGGAGCTCATCCGCCTCTCCCCGGATTCGAACCTCTGACCTGTTGGTCTTCAGTCCTGCCGACACAAGGGTTTAACCCATTGGACCACCAACCTCTGAGATGCTTGCCACAGATGCAGGTGAAACATCAGAAGAGAATGCTTCTAGAACACGGTCATACAGCCCGAAAAACCAACAACAACCCAAGGTTTCTGGAGTTGAAAAACTATTTTCAAAGTAAGTACAACACACGTAAACAGGAAATAACACTTGTTCCATAGTGCTATCACAGAACTTTCTTGGCAAGATTTCTCTTGAGGGAAGTCCTGTGAGGTTGAAAGAGTATGGCTTGCTCAAGGCTATCCAGAGGATTAGCATGGCTGAGCTGGGATGTGAACTCTCATCTCTCAAGAGTCCAAGGCAAGTCTAATATCTGTTTTTATTACTCGTTCAAAAAGATATGTGAGTGAACCACTCAGCCTGTGTTCTCTCCCTCTGACTTCCTCACAAGGAGGAAGCAGAACGGTCATCAATAGCAAGCAGGAAACCCACCAAAGGGATCCCACAAGCTCGCTTCGCGCTCAGAAGAGAACACTTTGCCTCCTCCTCGTGGTTCACTCGCCCGATCACTTTCGAATGCACTTCTCTAGTAAGACACTATAGAAATGATCCCTGAAAGTATAGTCTTAAAGTTTCTCTGCTCAACCCTCAGAGCCTGCCTCTCTTGCCCGGCTCCCAAGTCACAGTGACCACACTCCCAAACCATGCCTTGCCTTTGCACAGGGAAAACAACACCAAATACAAATCAACCATCATCAAATCTCCCAAGCAAAGATCTTTCCCCAATTTTAACACTTCATGCTTGGAGTAAATCCTGACCAGCACAGGGAAGGGGAGAATGAACCTGGGCTCTTTAGCATGACTCCTCCCCCGCAAGCACCACCTTCTCTGCAGGCTTCTTAGGACTGAGTCATGAAAACCAAGGGGATGAGTAGGCCACTCATGGCTGTTGTTATTGGCCCTGACACTGGCTTTTTCTGGGCCAGACTTATGCATTAGCAGTGCAGCACCCCCTAAAATGCTACTAAAGATGCTGCATACACTTTTTATCTATATAAATAAAAATGTAATGTTAGTTCGTGCTACCATCAGAACTCAAAAACCACTGGGGGAATTAACACCAAATTTGGACACAAGACACCTAACAGTCTAATTTATCTCAAAAAAATTGATTTTGACATTTTGGAATTGTTGCTGGGATTTATAGTTTACCTACAATCAAAGAGCATTCTGAACTCCACCAATGATGGAATTGGGCAAACTTAACACACAGGGTTCCCACGACCAACAGAAAAAACTGGAAAGGTTTGGTGGACATTGACCTTGAGTTTGGGAATTATAGTTCACCCACATCCAGAGAGCACTGTGGACTCAAACAATGATGGATCTGGACCAAACTTGGCACGAATATTCCATATGCCCAAATATGAACACAGATGGAGTTTAAGGAAATAGACCTTGACATTTGGGAGTTGTAGTTGCTGGGATTTATAGTTCACCTACAATCAAAGAGCATTCTGAACTCCACCAATGATGGAATTCAACCAAACATGGCATACAGGACTTCCATGACCAACAGAACACACTGGAAGGGTTTGGTGGGCATTGACCTTGAGTTTGGGAGTTGTAGTTCACCTACATCCAGAGAGCACTGTGGACTCAAACAATGATGGATCTGGACCAAACTTGACACAAAAATTCCATATGCCTAAATATGAACACAGATGGAGTTTGGAGGAAATAGACCTTGACATTTGGGATTTGTAGTTACTGGGATTTATAGTTCACTACAATTAAAGAGCATTCTGAAACCCACAAACGACAGAAATGGGGCAAACTTCCCACACAGAACCCCCATGACCAACAGAAAATACTTAAGGCCATCCAGTCCAACTCTCTTCACCAGGGCAAGAAAATGTAATCAGAGCCCTCCTGACAAAGAGCCATCCAGTCATAAATATAGATAGATAGATATGATTCTCACACACACCACACAGATATAGTATCATAGATTTGAAAGAGACCCTTAAAGAAGGACTATGATATGTTGCATATTCCAGAGTAGGCAAACCAGACACTCTCCACATCAACAAAGAAACAACAAGAAGTACTGTTTACCCACAAGCATAAAGGAATTACATATATTAGAAACCAACACTTTCTCATTACTTTATTTTCCAGATCACCAGACTGGGCCACAGCAACGTGTGGCAGGGGACAGCTAGTAATACAATACATTCTCTGAATAATAACAATATACACTTTTTATAATACAATACATTCTCTGAATAATAATATAAATAATTGTATTTTATGTGTTGTCGAAGGCTTTCATGGTCAGAATGACTGGGTTGCTGTGAATTTTCCGGGCTGTATGGCCATATTCCAGAAGCATTCTCTCCTGACATTTCACCCAATACAAATAATTGTATTTTATGTGTTGTCGAAGGCTTTCATGGTCAGAATGACTGGGTTGCTGTGGATTTTCCGGGCTGTATGGCCATATTCCAGAAGCATTCTCTCCTGACATTTCACCCACATCTAGGGCAGCCATCCTTAGAGGTCATGATGTTTTAACTGCTTCTGGAACATGACCACACAGCCCGGAAAACTTACAGCTATCCAATAATTGTATTTCTTACCCACCTCTCCTCGTGGCTCAAGAAGGGTTACAAAATAGCAAAACACACGCAATCATCTTAAACATTCCATCAAATGCACATTACCTATTTCTGTAAAGTAAGTATTAAAATACGCAGAACAAAAATTAAAACACAATTGGGACTCAAGGAGCTCATAAATTACAGCAAGTACAATACTGTTAAAATATTTTAAAGAATTACTTATTGAACAATAACACTATGTAAAATTATTTCTGTTCCTGGGTTTTCAATGACATTTCCTAATTAGTTTTATCAAATGGCATACATTTCTGAAACTGCAAAAACTTTGTTTTTGTGGGACATGCTGCTATAGCACATTTTGCTTTCGTTTTTCAATGAATTTCTCATAGTCTCAACCAATCTATATAAATAAAAATGTAATTTTCATTTGTGGGATTACTCAAAAACCACTGGATGAATTGACACCAAATTTGGACACAATACACCTCTCAGGCCAACAAGTGACCATCACTCATAAAACACTGTAAAACACTGCGGAAGAGACTTAAAAATCCAAGAAACAAAAATTACATTACAACGCCTGCACAAAACCACATATATATATGCAAACACCCATATATACACAGACACAAATATATACACACACAAAACATATATGCGCAGACTGGGCAACAGCAACGCGTGGCAGGGGACGGCTAGTACAACAGAAAGGTCCTGTGAGATTTTTGAGCTATATGGCCATGTTCCAGAAGCATTCTCTCCTGACATTTTGCCCACATCTTCTGACCATGAAAGCATTCAACAACCCAATACAACATAGTTTGTGGCCACCACAAAAACAATGTTTCTGGAGTAGAGCAACTGTTTTCAAAGTAAGCAGCACACAATTAAACAGGAATAACAATTTCAAACCAGGCAGAGAATGGGTTGTTGTAGGTTTTTTCAGGCTATATGGCCATGTTCTAGAGGCATTCTCTCCTAACGTTTCGCCTGCATCTATGGCAAGCATCCTCAGAGGTAGTGAGGTCTATTGGAACTAGGAAAATACATCAGGCAGAGAATGTTTTTCAAATTTTGTTACATAATGTCATCATTTATTTATTATTTATTTTTATTTTGCGCATTTCTACCCCACCCTTCTCAACCCCCGAGGGGGGACTCAGGGCAGCTTACAAAAGGCACAATTCGATGCCAACACAAACAATAAGATAAAAACATATATCAACAGCAATTATAAAACAATTAAAACAGTCAATTATACATCACAATCAATAAAACCAATCTATTGCTCAACGTTCGCCTGCTCAGAGTCCATAAGTTCATTCCACATTGTCAAATCCTATCAATTCTAGTCATTTTACTTTGTCTATCTGCCAGATTGCCCAAAGGCCTGGTCCCATATCCATGTTTTTAGTTTTCTTCTAAAAGAGAGGAGGGATGTCGATGACCTAATTTCCC